TATATTTACCTATTTCACTAGTTAACATAAAATTGTAAACATGTTTCCTATTATTGAAAGTTTTCTTGGTATCCTCAAAGATGTCCTTAACCAACGGGCATGTTCCTTCTAATATAATTTAAACCTTAAAATCTTTTTTAAAAAATTAAAATCTTTAAGCCTTAAATATTAAACCTAACAAATCAAGTTTTTTTAATAAAATTTAAACCTTAAACCCCTCTATCATAAAAATTAAAATCCTTGAAGCTTAAAAATTAAGCCTTAAGAATTAAACCTTTAATAAAAGGTCAAAATTAAACCTCTAATAAGATTCAAATCTTTCTGAAAATTTAAAACTTTTAATAAAATCTAACACCTTTTTAAAAATTAAAAATCTTAACATCGTTTTCAAAAAGTTAAAATTTAACACCTTTTTCAAAATTTAAAATCTTAACACCTTTTTCAAAGTCAAAATTCCAAATAAAAATTTTGAAATCTAAAACTTTTAATAAACTCTTCAAAATGTAAATTTTTTTAATAAATCTTCTTATAAAACCTTTTCCAAAACTAAAACCTTTTTTAAACCTTAATATGATCCAAAATTTATAACTTCAAACAAAAAATTTTAAAAAAAATTATTAAAACAAATATGTCAATATTAACTTTAAAACTAAAATAAAAATAAAATAAATTTAAAGAGATCTTTCAAAGATTCTTCTTGAGTTCAATAATTAAATGACTGATACAAGTTTTGCAAGGCTCTTTTAATATCTTAGCCTAGCCAAGGCTTATATAATCATTGTCTCCAAAATGAACTTGTTTCTCCCTAAAAACATGTGATTTCGTAACATTGGCTTTTTAGCATATAAGTCTTGGGCAATTTCAAATGAATATAATTCATATAAAAGTAAGTCTATATTGATCACACTCTTCATGTAATAAAATATTTTCAAAAAAACCCTTTTGAATGAAAAATAAAAATATTTTTTATAAACATATAGATGATTCTTAAATATGAAGAATAGAGAATTAAAAGGCTTGATTTAAATTTTCTTAATTATAATATTTAAACTCAAAACATGAAGTATAAAACCTAGGAGAAGAACAAAGAACTGCTACCTACGGTGAAAACTAAACTTTAGAAGAACCTAGATTTCTAACATCAACTGACAACCTTGGAAAATTATAACTTCAATTCACTATAATTAATCTAATTTTCACCACAACCGACAAACTTAGGAATAAATAAAAAATGAGTTAAATATTAATCTCAACAATAATTAAAATCGACCAACTCTAATTTTCACAACCACAGCCAAGGTCAGATCCAAACTGTGAACTATACGTTAGTCAACCTAGAAGAGAACTAATGTCCACACACATCTTAGGGTAGTCCAGTCAAAAAGTCTAGGTTAGATTATTAAGTACCTGATATATTGAATTAAGGACTATGATATGTAAAATAAATGGCATACCATGTTAGATTGTAAGGGTACCATAGGAGAAAGTAACCTATGGTTACTAGTGAAAGTACTTCAAACCACTTAATTGGACGGTCTATCATAATTCATCGCTATGAAAACAAGGGAGACATCTTGTTATTTTGTTGGTTAAAACTCTAAGGATCTTAATGTACCCATGATGATGGAAAGCTATGGGTATCTTCTTGACCGAGGGCGTTATTTCAAAAATTTACGTTAGCCTACCTATTAGCCTGCTTTTAAGAGTTATTTTAGGTTATGACTTCACCTAAATCTTGAAACCCCTTACCATTTTCAAGTCATTATTCTAGGCTCCAACTCAGTTTCAATCTAATTCAATTAATTTCCAATTTAAGGCAACTCAATTCCAATTCAGCTAAATTCAACTCAATTTAAAAATCACTTCCAATATTAAATTCCAATGTAGCTCAATTTAACTTAATTTCAAAATCATATTCAATATAAAATTCCAATTTCAAACTCAATCCCAACTCAACTTCCAATCAGTGGCAATCTCAAATCAATTCCAAAACTCAATTCAAATCAATTCTAACTAAACCTTTGTCCAGTTCTAAATGAACTCAATTCAAACTCAATCTTCAAATTCCAATCCAAATCAATTCAACTTAAATCATCCCAATTTCAATTTAGTTAAATTTCAATTTTGATTCAACTCAAAATCTAAACCTCACACATGAAACCTAAAACTTCAACCTTAAACTCAAGCTCAATATCAAAATTCCTATTTTCAATGATAAATTGTTTCGCCCAGACCATATGGTTTCAAAAACATGAAAACCTCAAAGCTAAATCAATTTTAATAAATTTTAATTAACTTCAACAAATTTCAATTGTAAACAAAATCATAATACACTTTAACAAATTTCAACCAATTTTAATGAACCTGATTGAATTTTAATAAGACTATTTTAAACCTTAATAAATCAAACTTAATTGAAAATTAACAAAAAACCTTATAACTTTAATAAACTTTAATAAATGTTAACAAACTTAAATAAATCTTAATAAAACTTAACAAACTAAATGAATTTAAAAAATATCATAGTAAAGTTAAATGAACTTACAAACACTTAACTAAATTTAAATAAAATTTGACCAAAATTTTGATAAAGCTTAAAAAGTTTAAATAAACTTTGAAATTAAATTCAACAAACTTTCATTAATTTTAAGTAAATTTAAAAAATAACAACAAATCTTAAATCCTTAAATAAACTCAAATAAGTCATGATAACAAATTCAATAATTTTTAAATATACTTTTATAATCTTCAAAAAAATTTAAAATAAACTAGAAACAAACCTAATACCTTAATCAGTAATAACAAATCAACTTTAAGGAACTTAAATAACCTTATTTTTTTAATAAATATAAACAAAACATAAAAGGCACTCTCAACAAAACTCTTCTAATATCTAATAACATACATAAATCAATCAAACTTAAATGACAACCCTAAGAGAAACCTTAAAATTGAATTAAACTTCAACTAACTCAAGTATCTCGGCTCAAGTTAAATCAATCTTTATCAAGCCTATACAAATCCTCCAATTTCACTCAGATCATTTCAAGCACAAAATCATTTCAAGCACAAAATCATTTCAATCCTCAAAAAACTTTATAAAATATGATAAATTCCAATCAAGTTTATCTTAATAAACTTTAACTAAATCTCATAAACTTTAATTAACTATAACTTAGAAAACTATACTATATCATAGAAAAGATTTAACAAATCCCATAAACATTAACAAACTTAATAAATTTAAATAAGCTTTAATGAAATATAAAAATCATAACAAGTTTTAGCATGCTTAAATTTAACAAACATTAATAAATTTTAAAATGACCTTAAAAAACATCAATAAACTGTAAATCTTTACACAAACACAAATAGATTTCATTTATAAATTTAATAATCCTTAAATAAATCTTAATAATCATTAAATATACTTTAATAATCTTAATATAAACTTTGAGATAAACCTAAAACAAACTTACTAAATTTAACTAAAATCAACATAATAATCAATTTCACAGAATTTAAGTAAATGGTTTTAAGCAAAGATAACATGCATAAAGTTAACCAAATTCCAAACAAATAACTTCTAAAACAAATTTAAATCAATCAATACAAAAAAATCAACTCAAATAAAACCTTCAAATAAAATCAAACCCAACTAACTCAAATTTTTATCTCAAGTGAATCAAGCCTATTCAAACCATCCAATTTCATTCCAAATCTCAAATCCATCAATCTGAGTCAATATCAATCATCTCAGAGAATCTTTTTGATAATTGTGCATGATATACTTCAAAAATTTAATCAAGAGTAATTTCAGAAGCCACCATTTTTTTAGATGTAATTAACTATGAGGGTTTTCCCTCATAGGGATATTAGATTCCAGAAAAAAATAAACCTTATGTTGCTCTCATAAAGTAAGAGAAAAATGCTTGGTCTGTTGTAGTCTCTTAAGTTATGGAAATTTTTATCATTAGGGTGATCTGATCCAGTCTAAGATAGTATTTCCAATATTTGGGGTATTAATGTACTTTTCAAATGTAGCATATGATCATTTAGATAGAAATCTTCCAATCTCTATTATGGATATACAATAAAAAAACCCACCGCAAAACGAAATGTAATTTGATTTAAATGGTTGGGTTTGGAACAAACCAAAATTTAACTTCTAGCTCTAATTCAAACTAAATTAATTAACACTTATAATTCTATTTTAAAATTAAAATTTTAATTTCCTTTTTATCTAGTCACAAATTTTCTTAAATTTCAAATATTAAATTAAACTAAAGTAATTATGTCAAGTGCTCAATTTATTTTCTTTTCAAATGAATTTAATTTCTTAATCCTAATATTATTTTTTTTTCAATTTCTTTGGTTTAATGAATATTAAAACTGAATGAAAAGAAAATATTGAATATTCAAATTTCTAAAATAAAAAAATCAAATTTCATTTTAAACGCAAACCAAACCAACATAATAAGCTCTATTTGGTTTGATTTTTTTTTTAATTTTAACCAAACAATGCGTGCTCTTATCGACCATCTTTTGTAACTTTCATAGGAAGGAATTTTATAAATTGAATCACAATGCTTGTACACATTCAATAATTTCCTTTGAAGCTTCTTAAATTTTAATGAACCATCAACCCAATATGCAACCATGTGCCTCCATTAAACTAAAATGATGTATTTATTATTCTTACTTTTTATTTCAACTATTAATATATTTGATGCAATTACTTACAATTTTGTAAATAAGTATGTTGTGTATCACATTTAGCAATAATCTTGTTCATCGCCTCCATTATTTGATATTTACTTCATGAATTCTTACTTTCCATTACAATAAAATGTTTAAAAATATTGCATCATTCATTGCAAAACAAACTCAATCTTTAGTTATATTTTTTTTGCCTTTCATTAGACACAAAGTATTGCATCATAGACCACCATTTGCATAATTCATTTCCATCGTCTATAAATAGGTCCCAGACAAGTGAAACCCTTGTATCCATCTCATCATAATATTTCTCTTCCATTTAAACAAGCATGGATTGCTCTGACTTAAGGCGTCAGGCTGCCCAGATGAAAAAGTGCCTTTTTGATCAGGTCGGCCTTCTCTACACACTTCAAATAAATCACTAATAGATTTGCAAGATGTAACTCAGAGGCCTATGTTATGGCAACAAAGTATGTTAATTATGGTTGCTTAACATTAAAGAATTCTCCGAGGTAAATAAAGGAGCAATATTCTGTACAACATCCCAACTTATTATTAGGTTTGCCTTGGGATTTATCTTATTAAACAACGAGTATTTGACCTTCACGCTTTGAAGTTGAAAGCAACACATTTAATTTGATATTGTATTTGAATGATGGTTGGTATTAACGATTTTTATAACTTTGCAAGGAAACTTGCCTATCTTTTTCTTTCATTTTAATGTTTAGAACCTAGAAATTAGCCTCTGAGTCTTTAGTGAATATATATTTGAACTCCAGTTGATTAGAATTATTGTTATCATTTTGAAATTCATCAAGCATTGTATTTACCATTAAAAATCAATTTTTTTCTCTTCTGAATATAATATATATTTCCATGAGCATAATGAAATTTTAAATTTTTGTGGCTATGTTGATTATTTAGTGTAATATACTTTTAATTAACTTAGGATAATTCTCCTTCTAATTGTTCAGATTTTTTAACATGAGAAGAACTTTACAATGGAGCACCTTTAATTGTATTAATGGTTCTCTTAAAGTGAAAAAAACAGATTAAGGAGCTATCGTGTCTGAACATGTAGCACATTGATAGGAAACAAAATGAGGAATCAGAATGTATTCGGTTGAAGGCAACGCCTTGCTACAACATTAAGGAGTTATCATTTGTAGTTTTGTTTTTTATTTCTCCACTGAAGCTCTAGCTTGTCAGCAACTAGAAAGCAAAACAAGTGCTCTACTTCATCATATTTATTAAGAAATAACTGATTAATACTTGTTTTTTATTCATTTTTTATCATAAATAATGTTTCACCAACAATGTTTTCCAGTATGAATACGAAAAAAACAGCATTCAGCACGAATATTGATGCCTAGGACCCCAAATATTGATCAAATGACTAGCAAATTTGAAGATATGTAACTTTGTATAATGGAAAATTTATGTTATTGAAGGGATACTTGGATGAGCAATTTTATCAGCTGGAAGATCTGCAGGATGATGTTAGCCCCAATTTTGTAGAGGAAGTAGTCACTTTATTTTTCAAGGACTCGTCCAGGCTGTTTAGCAACATCGAGCAAGCTCTGTAAGAAAGAATCAAAGAAAATCAAAGAAATGCCTTATTTATTTGGTATCTCAACCCATACATGTAATTCTTAGTGATACTTGTATAAATATACTGATGCAGGCAAAAAAATTCACCAGATTTTCAGAAGCTGGATTCACATATACATCAGTTTAGAGGAAGCATTTCAAGGTATTTATATATGCATAAGCATACATTCTTCCATGTGGGTATCAACTATTCTAACTGATAAAGATTTTCTATTTTATTTTATTTTATTTGGTCAGCATCGGCGCTCTTAGGGTGAAGAATGAAAGCACACTATTGAGGGAATACTGCAAGAAAGAAAACCTGGATGGGTATGTAATCATCAAAATCATTCTAAAATTGTTCATGAGTGTTATGCTGCCTTAGCGTTCTCCAATACAAGTTTTAAATATACATAACAGAGCTATGGCATGTAGGTGCCTTAAGACATTCCAGAAAATGAAGAGGGAACATGCTATCCTCAAACAGAAGATGGACGATTATTTTCAGGTTTTGACCCTCAACAACCATATTTAACTTCTCTTTCCATTTTATTTGATTTTGTAGACTTGTAGACAGCCTCTTTCAAAAGTGATGCTTTTCGTTTATTATAGGGGCTAACATAAAGCAATGATTAGATTTTCTTTATTATGACTTGTTGGCTGCTGTGTCAAAATGTTTGCTAAATGGACAAAGCCTAATTTAATCATTTAGAGCAAAAAGAACATAAAAAAGATACTCATAAGGCTAATATGATTTGTGCTGGGAAAGCAGCCTACTGCCAAGAAAATTAAACAAAACTTGCGTTGATGGGTCCGTCAAATTCAAAATGTTTGTATAAGTTGAGTAGTAATAACTTGTATTATTTTATTTAGCTTTTGTCAATAAACTCTGCTTGAATTTTTCTAAAATGAGCTTTGTTTCACAGCTCCTGAGACAAATTGGAACGGCTGAAGACGCTACCCGACCTATCATTTGAGAAGTCCGATTTCTCTCTTGCTCAATCTTCAATGGCAAAAAATAATTGCAGTATTATGCATCTAGACTTTGTAACAGAGCAGGGAAGCTAATATATGTGTAGCCGGTCACTGATCTGTGATCTCCACTATTATTATTAATTATCAGAAGTTCCTAATGCTAGTAATTCACTGAAATTTTATGGTTGCATCACCATCCATCTATTTCACTCTTTCTCTTTATATATATATGAGGTTCCACTATCCACAATACAACTCCACGCAAAATAAAAAGAAAATACATGTAAACCTACAAAATGTATACTAAAAGAAAAAGTATACCCAAAAATTAAATTTACACCAAAACCCATGTCACAACAGTTGAGAAGAGCAAAACCGAAGTAGAGGCTGCTATGTCTAGTGAGAACCACACCAAAAGTTGTCCAAACCTGCAAACAGCTAAATATCTCTCGGCCAAGACATAATTAGATTGCAACATGCTAAACGCTTGAAACCAGTGGAGGCAGCATGAGAATAGAAAGAAATGAGTGTAAGTCAGCATAAGCATCTCGAGCTAGCAAAGTGTAATCTCCCAAACCCCCTAAAAAACAGTTTAAGAAAATTGGAGAGTGTGTCCAAATTCTTGAAACCAACATTGGCATCAAGTAAATCCAAGTGACAGTGTCAGAAGCTTCATTAGTAGCATTACAAAAATAGAGAACCCAACCAAGCACACCAAGCATAGCCAAATACAAAAAAGTGTCCAGGAAACACAAACTTGGCCAAAGTAACCTTCCAGCATCCTTCCATATGACAGAGAGCAAATCCAAGCCGTAAGGTCCAAATAATGAAACAGAAATCCCGAAGCAGTAACAAATAAGAAAAGTAAATATATAAGTGTCTGCAGCACGACTAATATCCTGACCAAAAAGAAGAAAGAAAGAAATCTCAGGCAATCAAAACCAGATTCAAACCAGTGTCCAACAAACACAACCTGGACCAAAACAACCATCCATCATCCTTCCAAAAGGAATAGAAAAATACCCAGTCCAGAAAAAATCAAGATATGACACTTTGTATAAGAAGGCAAGCATAATTAAAATCTAACATAAGGGGCTTCCAATACTTCAATTTGTATGAAAGTGTGCAATGAAGGGGTAGGATTATCCCCAACAATAGCACTGTGCACTCTCAATTTAGCCAGCCAATTTGCAAAGGAATTTCCCTCTCTATAGATGAAAGAGTATTGAAAATTAAGGTTATGCATCTCAATATAATGCCAAATCCTTCTCAACAAAGAAATAAGATATCAAGATGGTTTGAGCTTGGCCGTGAGCATATAAAATAGTGTTTCAGAATCAGTTTTCAGAACAATATCATTTAAATTCAGAGAAGCAGCAGTCTGTAGTGCAGCAAGCACTGCACAAGTCTCTGCCTCCAGAGATGAAGTGACAATACAAGGGGAGGCAAAATAAGCTATACATTTACCATATTCATCTCGAATCAGACCCCCCATTCCATTATAAGTAGACTAGTAGCTACCATCAATATTAACTTTAATCTTGCCATGGGGGGTTGGTTTCCATTTAATCAAAATGAGTTTCCTACCCTTACCCATAGTAGGAGAGGAAGCCTTACCATTAAACAACTTCCAAGTCTTGTGAAAATGAGCCACAGCTAAAATAGAGATGGTAGAAGGAGTGTGGCAAGGAGTTTCATACTTCTGACTATTTCTAGCCATCCAGTTGAACCATAGCACGATAATAGGAGATAAAAAGAGCTTGTTAAAAAAAGGATCAAAGTCCTTACAAATCCCAATGACAGTTTTGAATGTCAAATGTAAGGGCCAATTGATACCAAAGTAGCATCCAATACGTTGTCAAACCTCTTTAGCAAAGGGGAAATAAAAAAAACAAATGGTTTGCAGATTCAACATTTTGTTTACAGTTATAACAAAAAGAAGCAAGTTTCAACCCTTTCAGTTTAAGAATATCATCAAGAGGGAGAAAGTTATGAAAATATCTCCAAAGGAAAATTGAGATAGAGGGAGATATATATTTATGCCAAGTGTAAACATGTCATTTCCAAGGAGTAAAAGAGTGCAATTTCGAGTAAAGCAGCTTAGTGACAGAGGATCTGTTTTGATGCTTCTAAAGAGGAACATCCTTATCTTGAGCTCCAATAGGTGTAGTAGCAATGGCAGGAGCTAAATCACCAATTAATGAATTCAGCTTAGCTAAATTCAAAACACCATCAATCCAATAATCAGAGACAAACATATTAGAATCATATCCTGAGGTTGGCAAAGTAGAATGCAAGGAAATCCCCCATTCATAATTCTAGAAAGAAATGCAACTATCCCCAATGTCCAAAAAAATAAAATGTGAAGCCACATCCCGAGCATAAGTAATAGCCTTCCAAAGCTTAGAATCCCCCGCTCTTCATTTGACCGTAGAAGGATGCAAATTTTTTCAATATTTATGAAACATAAATTGAGCCCATAATGACTCCCCCAAACGAAATTTGAACCAAATTTTACACAAGTTAATATCAATAGTTTATTGCAGAGTTTTAAACCCAAGCCCACCAGCATAAGGATGCTTGCTTTTGTACTGCTAATTCGTCCAAATCTTAGAGGATCTAGAGCCCTTCCAAATTAATTTGTTGAAAATAGTTTCAAGTGTCTCTTGAGTGCTTTTCTCTGTTTTAAGAACTTGCATAGTGTGGAGAGGAAGTGTACATAGGACACTTCTCAATAAAGTGAGCCTACCATCATTTGAAAGAAAAGTATTTTTACAGTCATTAATCTTAAGTTTAACTTTATCAATCACTTCATCCATCTGAGTTTGCTTACATCTGCCTCTAAGAATGTATACCCCAAGATACTTAATAAGAAGCTTAGAAATTTTACAACCAGTATAATTGGAAGCCCAGACATGAGTGTTAGAAGGGACACCTTTGCCAAAATAAATAGAGCACTTGGCCAAGTTAAACATCATATGAGATATGTTTTGAAAATCCTTTAACAAAGACATGGTAGCTTTAATTTCACGTTTGCTAGCATTTAAACACAAGATAGCATCATCAGCATAAGCTACATAACTCGTCACAATCTTAGATTTATGAGAGAATTGAATATAAGAATGCTCGTGATGTAGCTTATTGATGAGCCTAGAAAGGTAATCAAATGCAATAATGAAAATTGTGGGAGAGAGAGGATCTCCTTATTTAATGCCCCTGTTAGCAGAAAAGAAACCATGTGATTTACCATTAACCATCACACTATAACTATTATTAGAAAGCCACCTCTTAATGAATAAGCAGAAATCCTGTTGGAAGCCTTTGGTCTACAAAATATTAATAATAAAATCCCAGCTAATAGTATCAAAAGCTTTCCTAATGTCCAATTTAAGGAACATGTTTCCCCCCCTGCACTTCTTATCCAGATCTTCAATTATCTCCTGTGCTAAAAGGAAATTATCAGTAATATCCCTACTCTTAATGAAAGCAGACTGCTCAGCAGCAATGATGTGAGAGAGGTGAGGTTGCAATTTGTTAACTATAATTTTACTCATAGCCTTAGACATCTTAGTGGTGAGAGATATAGGACAAAAGTTGTCCCAGGAAATCTTATCATTACCTTTAGGAATGAGCACAGTCAAAGCAGAGGTGAAATATTTACCAGGATTATTGCCAAGGAAGAAACTTTGTATAGCAAGAACAACCTCCTTCTTAATAACCTCCCATGAATGAGTGTAGAAAGTAGAAGAGAAACCATCCGGACCAGGAGCTTTGTTGGGGCAAATAGACTTGAAAGCATCAAGGATTTCCCGTTCATCAGAAGGATGAGTTAAATCAAGATTATTAATGTAATTATAATCATCCACAATGTGAGTGGAGTCAACAGGCATAACTTGAGTAGAGGTTTGAAAACGCTCAGTAAAATAGGTAACAACACTAGCACCAATCTCTTCCATGCTAGTTAAAATGCTCCCCTCCCATCCCCCTTTTTAATTTTTTAATTTTTAAAATACTATTAATGTTTCTTCTGTGTTTAAGGGTGGCATGAAAGTATTTAGTGTTTCTATCCCCCGCAGCAAAGGAAATATCATTAGTCTTCTGTTGAAGAAGATTTTCTTCTAAAGCAATAGCATCCATTAACAAAATATGAGACTGTGCAGCAGTGTCCATCAAAGCAAGAGAAACAACTAGTTGAGCTTCCAAACAATCAACAACGCTCTGAGCATCCTGCACTTTTTTATGAACATTATCAAAAATTTGGTAATTCCATTTAATAAAATGAGCAACCATCTTTTTATGCAATTATCACAGAACAAACCGAGGAGTCCCAGCTCCTTCATACCTCCATTCCTGATTCACCAAAGTCAAATAAGTATCGTGAGAAGAAGCTTGAAGTGAGATATGATCGGTTTAACAGTAAAGGCCAATGTAAGCAAAATCAGATTACGATCAGATGTAGCATAGCTCAAGTGTTGAACCCGCACAATAGGAAAGTGGCTTAAAAAAGCAGAATTAGCCAAATACAGATCCAATCTTTGATAAAGAAAACCTCTCATCCATGTATAAGGAGAGCCAGTGTAACCCAATTCAAAAAGGCCTGCATTAGAAATAGAATTAGAGAACCTGTTAATAAGAGCAGGATCAACTCTACCACCTTCTTTTCTCTCCATAGGTTTCATAATCATTTTAAATTTGCCACAAACAAACCAATTCTCATTAATAAGGCCTCCCATAAGCTCAATTTTTTGCCAGAGCAAAGATTTATCATGCAACTGAGAACTAGCATATACAAAAGTAGCCCATCCTTGAAAATCTTCAATAATGGAAAGAGAGACCACATTTTGTTATTGATGTTGCGGTAAGAATGGTATCCCTTGAATTTGTTAAAAATTCTACTTTTATTAACATGAACCATAGGTTCCAAAATAACAAAAATGAGAAATTTATGGACCCTACAAAGATGTTTGAGCCTATTAAGGGAGTTAGGGTACGCCGCTCCCCTAATATTCCAAACCATAATTTTAAACATAATGATATGAGTCATCCCTTCTAGAAGGTCTAGTAGGGCTGACTAACTGTTCTCCATCATAATTATAAATGCCTTCCTGAATAATGTTGCTAGCATTAAGACTAGAAAGCTCATTGTTTCGTTTAACTTTTTCCTTGAATGTTTTTGAACCTGCCACT